AGAGTAGTCTAACCTAAGTCCAGGAAGCTGATATATTGATATGAATGAAAATGTCAGCAACAACAACGCCCTCGCAGGTGATGGTGCACTTGCTAACATTTGAGAGAATTTGAGGGGGGGTAGGGGTGGGGGTGGGGGGGTGGTAGGGTAGTTCGACCACAGGTCTCCCCACTGGACCGAGGGAATCTGTCAAATAGTGCAGTTCTATCTCTGTACAGTACTAATGCAATTAGTAAAAGCAGTCACACCAGGAAAAGCTTCTGTGTTGTGTGAAACTGAGAAAAATAGACTCTTCTGCACACCACCACATGTGTGTGTCTTAGTNGGGGGTAGGGGTGGGGGTGGGGGGGTGGTAGGGTAGTTCGACCACAGGTCTCCCCACTGGAGCGAGGGAATCTGTCAAATAGTGCAGTTCTATCTCTGTACAGTACTAATGCAATTAGTAAAAGCAGTCACACCAGGAAAAGCTTCTGTGTTGTGTGAAACTGAGAAAAATAGACTCTTCTGCACACCACCACATGTGTGTGTCTTAGTGTAAGTGTGCAAAGGTGTAATAATTAGTTTCTCTTCAGTGTGTTAATCTATTAATCTATTTGTGTAATGAAGGCAGCCATATTTGCTGTTTTTCCAACTGTTGACATGATTGATGTGTTTTTCCATGTCGCTATAAGAGGTTTTTTGCGTGAATGATCATTGCTTATTTTTACAAGAAAGGACTATTCAGCTCAGCAGTTGCATGAATCAGATGTTTGTACATAATGTACGTGGAACATCACTGACACTAAAATATTTAACAGACTCAACGTGTCTAAAATTGTTCTTGATGAATCTGTCACGAAACTTGGTAAAACACTGTAAAAATGAAACAATACTTTGACATTCTCACAGTCACCTGTGAAAAAGAAACAACAGCACCCTCTATTGGATTTTTGTTGAAAATGTCCGATAGATTCCAGGTAAACTCTTGCTAAAATGCTCCACTGTGATCACACAGATTAGGTCAGTTACCTTTCAGTTTGATGCTTTTGTCTGCTCCAAGTCTGTCCAGGACTTTAGTCCAGGATCCTCTGGTGACCAGGCGGCCTTTAGACGTCATGAGGACGATGGAACTGTAGAGTGAGAGACAGTGCATCATTGTAATGTTCACATTCAGCTTATCATAGGTGCATGTGTCGCCTCTTTTCACCTCCAGCCTGTGTATTGTATTGGAGCAATACAATGAAATGTCTCTGACAGCTTAGACAGTCGATGCATCTTTCAAAAAACAAAGGAAACGATTTGGCAGAATATGGAGGCAAACCATCATGAGGAGTCTTAAACAGAGAGCTAGGAAACAGCTGAAGAGTTTTTAGGGTAGTTAGGTTTGACAGCGGAGAAGTTTCGTACCCGTCTCTCAGTCCACTGACGTAGTTGTCAATCTGTGCAGGGATACCCTGCAGGATGGAGTTCTTGAAGCTCTTGCTCTCCACCACCTTCCCATCATGCCCGTCAATTACCGTCAGATGCACCCCGTCGTCTGCTTGGTACAACTTCTTACCATTCACCTGTCACAAGAGAGTCACCCAATCACAGCACAGCTCTGACAGCAAAGCACACTTCAGTTATATCACTGACTCAGCAGTACTTACATCAAACAACACGGATCAGTCACATTATGTCTGAAAAAATAATAACTTCATCTGTCTAAATTCATCTTTTGCACAAAGCAGTTTAGTTCTTCACTATCTTAATCATTTTGCGGTACAATGAATTCTGGGTAAATTAAGACTTTTGTTCAAAATAAAAAAAATGATCGACCAAGGAACCACATCTAACCCCTCAGCTCCGTTCACCCTCAGCAGAAAATGTTTGTCTTTAGGAAGAATTCAACAGTTACGAGGACGTTTAACATGAAGAGTGAAAGAAAAATGTGATTTGGTCTAAAAAGTCTTTCTCTTCTCTTTACTTTCTCTATAACAATGTTAGCAAACCACAAATTATGAGCCATGTTTTCCTGTTTTTTGTTGTTGGATGCTACTGGTTAGTGCAAGTGTCATTGATTGTTACCATGGTAACATTGGTCTTAGGACTGAGTTAGCCTGGGGGTAAGGGGCTGGTTCCACAAAGGTATGTCAGACTGGTCTGTAGTGTTCATGTTGCTCATAGATCAGTCTGATGTCAGACTGTTACACACAGATACAGACTGACTCATTTTAAGACTAAAACATTAGACATCTTTGTGTCTGACTGTTTGTTATATCTAAGCTAGAGTCAAAGTCTGTCTTTGTAAAACCAGGCCCTGTTCAATTTGTGGGTGGGAGTAAAAGTGAAGAGCTTTTACTTTTATCTTTTATCACTCGTATTCAATAAGTGTTTAATGAACTGCAGTAATCTATGCATGAAGCCATAGAAAAAGCTAGTGGTCTGAGTCTCAGCTGTTCAAGCAAAGTGACAGTGCCTCTACACCTACTTCTACACTGTCTGTATGAGACAACGGATACCTCAGTGAAGGCAAAGTCCTCCTTGATGTGGAAGAAGCGAGTGTTGTAGGATTCCAGCTTGACCTCCAAGAAATGTTCTGGTGAATGCTGAGGAGAGACAAGCAGAGGAACAGAGCTGACATCACAGAGCTGCACAGATGATGTGAGATAACCACAGCTGAATAAGACAGACATTCATACAGGATGTGTCACATAACCATACAGCAAATAGCTCTTCAATCACAGTGGAATATGTTTCTTAAAAACAGTCTGAAGAGTGTGTTAAATTTATTTATTTATACATTTATTAAGTATGAAAATATTTGAAAAATGTATTGATTAATTCAGATGCATGTGTCACATGACAGCTGTGCAGTATGACCACATAAGCAGGAAGCCATAGTGACTTGTGTTACCTACGTTTTTCACCTTGGGAAACATTGTGGACGGGAATCAAATGATTTAAATTTGTATAAATTTGTATTTATATCTTGTTAACTGACTGGATTATTGAATATTTTTAGTTTGTGTGTTTTTATTTAATTTATTTTGCTTTATGTTTTGCTCAGATTTGTTTTGAAACTTGAATGAAGCTGGTTAAAAAAAATACCTCGCATCAGACATTTTAACAGAAACGCTCAGGTGAAACTAATGACATTTACCTACTGAAACATACTGTATCTTACTGTAAATGGAGCAGAGCATCATTAATCATTCATTAATAATATTAATGACATTGGTGTCATATCTGCTGAGTCTGAAATCCTTCACTCTTCACTGACAAGTGGACTTTTAATGATCACCTATAATATTATTAATTATTATTTATATATTCTGCTGAGTGAAATTTAACAGTAGTAACATCATACTACAACAGCAAAAAGTGTTCAGACCTGTTTAGTAACATCCAGTTTTTAATTAAAGTCTCTTGAATGAATGAATGAATGAATGAATGAATGAGGACACACACACAAACACAACCACTTCTTCTCACCAGCCTGGCGTTAGGTGTCTTCCTGGGCATGGGTACATCCACGACGGGCAGCTCGGCGTGTCGGGGGTAGGCCTGGGCCATGCAGTTGCTGGGGGGACTACCTTTGGGGATGATGGCTGTGATCTTCACCCTCTCACAACCTTTGACAGAGCAGAAGGCAAACTGCTCCCTGTCGTTGTGGGCCTTCACCTTCAGGAAGAGCAGGCTGCAACCCACACAGCAAAGCTTCAGACATCAGACATTTCCTTTGGTGGTTTGCAACCACAGAGAAAAAATACACTGTGATGTACAGATTTATTTGATACTTCAGTTGTTCCTGCGACCAACCAGCACCTGACCGCTCATACTGGCTGTGCATGGGGAGTTTTGTTCACAGGTGTATCTTTATCTTTTACTGCACTGAGGACATATAGGACATGTAGTCATTAAATCAAACCTCCAGTAAAGTTATTATCCGTACTGCTCTGTTGTCAATATCACAGTTTCCTGACCCGCTTCCTGCTGCCTACCTACTTCAACCTGTTGGACTTATTGTAGTTGTGTCTGCACTGTTTTCCTGTGCAGTGAAGGATGACAGCTTTCTAAGTTTGCTCAGTTACAGTTTCACCTCCACATGAAGTCCTTTAGAATTACCAGGTTAAACTGACCATCTGACCTCTCATGTCTCTGAACCTGTTGGAAACCAGGGCTGCGGTCGAAAAGAGTTTTTTTCTTAGCACGGTTCAAACTGAGTGAAGTAACCTGAAGTATCTGAGCAGCATCATGATCAGAGCTGCTCTACTTCTCTAAAGAACAAGGAAAGGAGGTTCAATGCTTCCTATCTCATCTCCTTCCTTTACAAAAGGAAAGGAGAAATTCTGTCCCACAATTCCTTGCTGCAGTGATGCATCATTGTAGTTTCACCTTGGCAGACCCACATAAATGTAGAAACAACAGAGTTTTATGTTTGAGACTCGATCCAGAACCGATGGAAACCCTTGTCTGATCAACTGAAGCCCAAATCCATAAATATGATTCTCTTTGAATCCAGTCAGGAGTCATGAAGAACAAACATATCATCTTTATCATCATCATAACAATCTATAAATATTCTGCTCGCTGCACTAAAAATAACTTTTTACTACTACTACAAAACTCTATATATACAGTATTCTATAATCTATATACTGATGTCTGAATTTAATTCACTCTGGCCCAGACTCACTTATTTTCATTTAATTATTATTTTACCGACTCAACTTTCTCTATTTGTTTATTTCTTTCATCTTATTTCAACTGTTCAATCCTGTTTGCTTCGTTTCTGTGGTTAGGAAAGGAGGATTTATCGTTCATGTGTTATAAATAAAGTTGGTTTAAAAAAATAAGAAGCTTAGTGTAAGTGCAGTTGGATTTTCTCTGCACCATGTTTGTCTTTTCCTAAGTCCTTATGAATTCTCCCTCACATCTTTCCTTGACCTCATGACGTTTTCCATCAAGGTCAAGGAGAGGTGGTTCAAGAGGAGATTATTTTGACTTTTCAACCACAGCCCAGATCTCAGCTATTACTGTGATGGGTTGGAGTTGGTTTACCAAAGCTTAGGTTGATGTGTGGGGACCAGAAAATAAAAAGCCAATAGAGGCTCTTTAGGCTGAATGTTGGAGTTGCTCTGGTACTGATACTAGTATCAGAAATGTCTCTGATACTGCCAAAAATACTGGATCAAGTATCGACAAGTGCGTGTCCATGCACTGTTCCAATACCACGTAACTTATTAATAAACTTTACAGTTTCACACCCAGGAATCGATTTTTCTTTGCTGCTCTAGAACAGCAGTTTACACAGGAAGTTGTGCCTCTAGCAGCTACTTTTCTAACTGACTTTTGGTAAATAGCATAACGTTAGCCATTAGAAAAACATTAACAATTTGGAAACATGTTACACTGGAAAGTCCCAGCAGGAACAAGGCAACGTGTACAACAGGCAAGGCTTTAATATCAGGGGGTGGCACTAGTGTTTGGACAACTAGTGTAGGAGCTGTTATTTATTCCTAGATTTATTTATTTATTTAATGAGCAACAGTCGCATTAGATAAAAAAGTGAATCTTTACTCATGTATTCGCTCATGTTTTACAAATCATATCAAATCCATATAGGTTTAGTTGTAAACAGCTGATAAACCTACACAATGTTTTTAATGCATTGGTATTGGATCAGGATCTGGGAATCAAAAAGTATTACTGATAGTGTCACTGTGTCTGACCTTGTGTCTTCCTCCCAGTAGTAGTATCCTCTGGTCTGGTGGGAGTGGTTGATCTTCTCCCTCTGCGTCGTCCTCATGAAGACGCCGGTCTTGCGGGTCTGTTTGGTCAGGCGGTTGTGGATGTCGGAGATGATGGTGAAGGTGGTGCCTTGTGGGTAACAGAGGCCCACGTTGATCCAGTCATTTCTGACACAACAAACAGAAAAAGGAAAAGTAAAATACTGACTTCATCTCGCAGCAGAACCTGTTCTCACAGGATTATTTAATCAGTTGAATATAAACTGAGGATAGAGCTGAACAAATTGCTTGATTAACTGATCTAGAAGTAACAACAGTGAATTTTATTCATTTATAAAAGAACAATGGAAAACACTCTCTGGTTTTAGCTTCTCCAGTGTAAGGACTTACAAGATGTTTTACTGTTAGCTGCACACAACAAGATGATGACGACAATGATTTGATCCAGTGCAAACAAAGATTAATTGCTGCTATAATTATTATATAGTAATCATAGACTTAACCTTGTTATTTGCAGTAAACAGGAGATTAAGTGTTTGAAATTCAGACAAGAAAACAAGTGAATAACAGCTTGTGCTTTATCTTCATATGTCCAACATTAAACATCTGGATGCTGCCTATCACTCAGCTCTCCGATTTATCACCAACAATCCACACAGCACTCGTCACTGTGACTTGGGCTGGGCTGGCCCTCCCTTCTCTATCGGGTGAGATCAACACTACTATCTATTCATCAGTCCTGTGCCCAAGACATTCTACTTTTAGTACATGTTCTCAGGACTGGCTGACGTTATATGTTCCAGCAGTAAATACTAATCTTGGTAGGACAGCCTACCAGATATCATTTCCCTTCCCCCATTAGGGTGGAATAATTTACAGAACAGACTGAAACTGGACACGCTGATACTGATATTAGATTACCTGTCTGTTGTGGAGCACACAAGGTCTATTATTAAACACTTCACTCCAAAAATATCTCACTTTAAACTTAATGGTTTAATGATTGCTATATACTGAATTCACAGTTTAATAATCCAGTCCATGGATTTCCTCTTTAGTCCCACAGAAGCTGCTCGCTGCAGCACTGACTGAAAGATTAGGTTTTTCCAAATGAATGAATGAATTAAGAAAAAACAAAAGATTCAAAATGAATGGAAGTCAGAGCCTCTGTATAAACTCCACCAATGTCAACATTTCTTCAACAGGACAGCACATTTAAAAGATTATGATCCATTTAGTTTAGTTACAAGATCCTTTATCAAACCTTCAGAATCAGCAAGAGGTAGCTTTATTTTAATACATCACACTGCTCAAAGAGCGACTGACTAAACTATGATCAGTTAGTGAACCTGAAGAAACAAACAACAGCTGACAAAAACAAACAAGTCGTATTTCAGCTCCTCCTGCAGAGAATCAGTCTCACTTGTTTCCCTCCATGAACTGTAGATGGGGCTGTTGGTGTTTGCACCATCAATGGAAATTGGGAGGGAGGACTCAGGCCATGGGGAATAGCTGACATGCTTGAAATGACAACCAGCCTTCATGCATTTTAAATGGCTGCAGGCCGCTCTGTAAACACTCTTTGAGGGGAGGACCACAGAGCGAGGCTCTCCCCATTTCTGTGGTGAGTCCTCATGAATAACAGAGCGAGAGGAGCGAGCCGACAGCCTCCGTCACATTACTTCACCGCCCTGCCGTTTACCGACAGCCTTTAAGGAGGGGTTAGTGTTGAAAAACCAAATTAATCCTGTCAGCTAACTCCCCATGTCACCACTATCACGTTTCACTGTATATGTGTTCCCTCTGTCTATATTCTCTCTATAACTTGACAACAATTCAACCACTTCATGGATGAAGTCATCAGTATACTTCAAACAAAGTGCCAGTCAGACTCTGAGACCCCCCCCCCAAGTTATAATTCATAACTTTTCCACATTAAAATGTCTAGACCTGTGTTCTATATGTTGTTGAGTTGTGTTCTTACAGTATCTCAAATGATTCCATCAATTCTCAAACCAGAGAAATCTGTGATTTTAATTATGGTAATTGGTCACCTGTCAGTGACATCATATCCTCTATGATCATGTGACAGTGTATTTGGTGACAGAAGCTCAACATTGACTTTTATCTAGTTTTAAGCCACATACACTTTTGACACCTTGGTGGTTTTCAGCTCTGTATTTGAAGCAGATGAAGGATTTTAGTCGTCGGACGTCTGGATCTGAAGTTATCAGAGAAACAAGCTGAGGAAATGTTAGACAGCTCAGCTCCCAGCTGCTGGAGACGTCCTGTCCTGTGTCACTGAAGAGCGTCGCTGAATCTCTGCTTTTTAAAGGTAAACTGCTTTCTGGGTGTTTCTACTGGTTTTAATCCCCTGGTGTGTTTGTTATGGAGAGGAGGACACCTCTGTGGAGAATTCAGCTGCTGGTAAAAACCTGCTGAACGTCTGCTTCATAAGTTATCAGAGAAACAATCAGAACAAAGGTTAGCATCAATCTCAGCTCCAACTCTTCCCTGAGTCTCTGTCCTCCGTACAGCGTCGCTCCAACACTGACTTTACATGTCAAACTGCTTCATTCAGTGTTTTTAACAGTTAGAATCACCAGGTCTGTTTGATTTCCTGAACCACTGACACTGAAGGAATCCAAACCGGGAGGAGCTTATGGTAATGGTGGTGAAGACAACAACTCCCATGATCCCACGCTATTTCATGACATCACCCAATGCTGTCTTTTGTTATTGCTTTGATTGAGAGAGCCCTAGAGGCAGAAGTTAGACTGTGTGTTTAAGTTTACATGCAGTGTGTGATTTTTTTCTCTTAATTGCATCTGTGTGAGTCTGTGCACTTCTAGTATTTATTTGTTTGTGCTGTTTAAAGTGTTTTCATATATAATCCTTTTTAAACGATCCAAATTCAGTCATCTTAGGGCGTTTTCACACTTGGTCCCACTCGGCCCTCAAAACAAATAAAGAAAACTTGACTACACTAAGTGTACTTCTCCATTATCATCGACTTCTGTCATACGTGTGTGTTGCGAGAGAAACAGAACGTAGTGGACAGTTGTCATTTGATGGTTCGTTCTATATGTAAAAGTACAGTAGTTACTTCCTCGCCCATCAGTCTTGCTGTCGTTACCATGGTTCTGTCTAGGTGTTTTACAGCCTGTGATCTGTGTACAGCAGGATTAAAACACACAACGTGAACCTGCAGCACTGAAAAGGGACACACAGTGAAGACACTTGAATCTGGCACATTTACATCAAACTGATAATTCATGCGTGCGACGTGCTGTTTAACAGTCTCTGAGTGAAGGTGGTTGTTTTTTCATGAGTGTGTGTGTGTGTGTGTGTGTGTGTGTGTGCTGTTACAGGTCGGGCTCATGTGTCCACTGACTTGTTGAAGTTGATGAGCCAGATGGTGACCTCAGCAGGCGCCACCTGGTCCCAGTGGATGGTGTAACCTTTAGCAAGTGTGATCACAGGTTGGAACTGCTGGTAGTGTTTCCTCTTCCCAAGGGCGCCCTCTAGTGTCAGAGGCCGATCAGGGTACTCATCCCTCACTATGTCCATGTTCAGGTTGGCAGGGTTACGAGTCTGGACGTAGATCTGAAGAGAACAGAAGAGAGTTAGATGCTGTGGGCTCAGGTTTACCTGTTATTTCATCCATGTAGTCATTCAGACTGAGACAGAAACCTGGCGCGTGACCATGAAAACAAAAAAAAACTAAACAGCTGTTAACTGATGAAACTAAATAACATTCATATATTAAAAATCTTCTCCTTTTTGACATCTGTGAAGTTTTTCATTGACCCAAAGTGAGTGACTCTAATGGTTTGGTGAACTGCTCATTAAACCATGACGTGGTTTTACATGAGACTATGTAACTAGCTGAAATCATGAGCAATAGATACAATACCGATATTGATCCCAATACAGTGCGTGGACTGTGTTCCAGTGTCAATCTGTTTGCATATTTCTCAAAACACATCGAATACACTGAATATTACAAACAACATATTTTTAAAAAATGCTGTCATAAATAATCTCAATATTTGATCAGGAGTTATCCAAGACATCCGCACTATTAACCATCTACAACAGCTCCAGCTAATTTGCGCAACACCCATGAACAATTCAGCCGACTAAGATATGTATGAATGATTTCTCATTTCCCACAAACACATCAAGTTATTCATGATTCTGCAGAACTCTGAGATTTGGAAATGCATGTGATGAACTGACGCTAAACAGGGTGTAGCAGAGGGTAGATTTGTGTTTGTGAAGGCTGATCTGTGAATGTGGGTGTGTGTGGGTGTGTGTGTGTGTGTGTGTGTGAGTTTGACCCCTGTTCACCCACCTGTGCGTAGCGGCCGCTGCAGATAGCAGCCTTCCAGTCGGGCACGTCGATGCAGTCAGGGTGACGGAGCAGCCAGTTGTCCTCTTTCACCAAGAAAGCTCCGGGATACTCGCTGACTGAGCCGTCAATGTCGTGGAAGACGGTCGTCTTGTCCCCGTCCATCTGCATCTTATTAAACCAGGGACCTGGTTCCCCAAAAAACACCCGAGACGTGATCTGCAGCAGAGGGATCGAGTGAGAGGCAAACATTTGAAGCTCACAGTGGGTGTTTTATGCTCATATGCTGATTTCCAAATGTTCTATACTTAATATAAAATATGGCTAAAGAATCTCCATATAAAAATATCAAAAATTTTTTAAAAGGATCAGATTAACTTGATCTGAGTTTTAATTTCTTTGCACATTTTTGATAAAAACTTGAAACACAGAAAACAGTTCAATGGATACAGTGAGATTGTTAGTGATGATTTTTTATCCCCATTTGATTTCAAAGTAAAATCAGTTCCACCAAAACCTCTGGATTTATCAGTCCAGATGTTTTAAGCCCTTCACACTGACTCACAGGGACGTGGTCGAAGGTGATGTCGGTGACGTTGTTGTTGGGGCAGCTCTGCCACGAGTTGTTGAGCCTGAAGCCAAAGGCGCTGGTGTGACGTCCATCCAGAGCTGTATATTTCCGAAATGTACAGTTCTGCACGTTGATGGGGCCGTCATAGATCTGCATGCCCCGGATAGGAAAATCACTGAAACACAGACACACACACGTTTGTACAGCTATCTTTGTCGGGACCTGTCATTGACATAATGCAGGAGACCAAAAGAGAGCGTGAACATTAGCCTTACAGTCATCAGGTGCTCTGTGTCTGCTAGAGGAGGCAAGTTTGAGGTTTAGCTTGCTGAGGTTCAGCTCGCTGAGGTTTAGCCCTCCTGAGGTTTAGCTCGTTGAAGTTTAGCTCGCTGAGGTTTAGCTTGTTGAGGTTTAGCTCGCTGAAGTTTAGCTTGCTGAGGTTTAGCTTGCTGAAGTTTAGCTCGTTGAGGTTTAGCTTGCTGAGGTTCAGCTCGTTGAGGTTTAGCTTGCTGAGGTTTAGCTCGTTGAGGTTTAGCTTGCTGAAGTTTAGCTCGTTGAGGTTTAGCTTGCTGAGGTTTAGCTCGCTGAGGTTTAGCTTGCTGAAGTTTAGCTTGTTGAGGTTTAGCTTGCTGAAGTTTAACTTGTTGAGGTTTAGCTTGTTGAGGTTTAGCTTGCTGAGGTTTAGCTTGCTTTCAAAAATATCTGACTAGTTATTGGCTTGTCGCTAACTTTTTTTTTTCAGAGATTTGTCACTTGAAAACACCACTGAAGAAAGACTGAAACAAAAACAGTAAAGTTGCTGGCTCCGAAACAATGAGCTGAAAAACACGTCTCATATTATATAACCATATGTCAGGTACCACACCATGTATATTCCAGTTGAAAAAGTCAGAGTGTTTTAGACGTGTTGTATAACAATGTGAACACCGTCTGATGTGTTCAAGGTCAGACACACACCAGGACGTGGTGGTACAGTGGAAAAACAGACGGACTAACGACTATGATTCACATTCTGCAGTGTGTGCATGACTCCCTGCCTTGGATGCTGATGAAAATCTTTTTCTATCCAGTGGCCTTCATAAAATGTTCAGCGCGGCACAGCGTGAGAGCACGATGGCAATCGCATGCCTGACTTTATCTAGTTGCATCAAAGAAAGTCAGGCTCAATATGAAGCATCCAGACTGAAGCCCTTTATGTGGACTTCTCTTTTCCCCACACAATAAAGGAATCTGTGATAATTCTACTGTTGAGACATTCCTTCTTTACTCTGCCAAGTGGGCCGAGGCTGATTCCGAGCATACCGAGTCTGTCTCCCACACATACCAGCCTCTATTAAACTCGCACTCCACCCAAATCTATCTTTGGAGTTTGAAACACTGGGCATGAAGAGCGGCTGTCAGACGTTCTGACTGTGCTCCTTCATGAAGAAAAGCAGCTGTGCTCAGGTTCAATTAACGTCAGTTCAAAAAGATTACAGAGGCAACAACTAACCCATGGTAGAGGATCTCCACAGTTGGTCAAACATTTCTCCATTGTCCATCCATATATCGTCACTTAACACACAGTTTACATTAAGGGTGACCAGACGTCCCCATTTCCCAGGAACAGTCCCTGTTTTTGGTGGCCTGTTCGCAGAAATGTCCCCTTTTTATTACATGGGTAAAAACATTGGAAACTAGAAATGTGGTTCCACATTTGTGCAAAATAACACTTGGTATCCATAACCCACACATATGAGGCGTTGATTACAATGGAAAACAGTTTCTGTCTGTAACTTTATCTTTCATAATGACATTTATCTGAAAAGTGTTTCATTGGTCCCTGCTCTCCCCTGTGGTCTACTGCAGTTTCAAACTGGGTTACATTAAGTCTAGACATCAAGGTTCCACAAAACAGTATTTCACTGACTATGTTGAAATGGGAGCGTTTATATGTGCATGAGACTTATTCCTGCTGCCTGGACTCTGCTCTATTTACCACTTTGCACTACCACCAGATTTGGCTTTTTCACTGGGTCACCAGTATACCATAACCACAGTAATAGTGATAGTAGTGTCCATATAAACACACTCAACATATTAAGGACCCTAAATGCTTTTTAAAAATAATGGTTATATGTATCGTAGATGTCTTTCACTTTTCATCAGCATTAACTGATCTTTCAGCTGCTTGAGCGACCAGCCGAAATTACAAAATCAAACAAATCATTTGTTTTTAGTCCCTAATGTGGCTGCATACACAGCTGATAAAACCAAACCAATGAGCTGAAAGAGACAATAATTTTCGCTTACATGCCACGTGGCAAGGTCCTGCCAGTGAGGTCAGAACCCCCGGGTCCCCAGATCCGGGCGTCAGGGAGAGGCATCCCGTGATTGTCACTTTCACCCACAAACAGCGAATTCTTCACCTGCTGGCGAGAGCCGTCATCGTCTGGAAACGTCCCTCCACTGCACACACATGACAGGGACAGTTAGAGTCTGGAATAACCAAATGTAGTGATAGTAGCATTGCTAAGAGTAGACGTAGTAGGACAGTACTCTAGAGTTGTTTTATTGATGCTATAGTGAGAATTCACTTTATTTACATTACTTGTAAGTCTGACTGTGTTTCTTTGTTGAGTAAATGTAGCTTTAAATAAATATGAATCCACCACAGGTGAATAATCTGTTGTCATCCCCAACACTTCACTTCAGTGATGTGAACAAAAGCACAAATACAAACAACTTGTTTCTCTGTTGTCACACCCTGACAGGTGACTATCGAGAACAAAAAAACACAATAGTTAACAGAGAGTTATTATAGAGAGTTATTGCTGAGGTTATGGGAGCCAAAAAAAATAAAATACAGACATAAGGAAGAGGAAGTCAGTGGTCAGTTTGGTACGAATGAATAACTGATTAATTTCTTTATTTCTACATGAAGCTAAACTATTAAGTAGTTTTCATCTAAGATGGACGCCCGATACACATTACATCTGCTGCATTGTCTCTCTCTGTATAACAATGTTCATCTGTGTTGTATTAAATAAAAGCAGGTCAGTGGCCCAGCACCTCGAGCATGTGTGTGTCTGTTATCCACATACTTTGTGTACTTACTAATATTCATATCATGCTCAGTGATGCAGAAATACACAAAGAACTTTGAAAACTATAGAGCCAGTCTTCCCCTGTTTGAATACAAATAAAAAGGAAATTTTACCTAATTTTTACCACCAATTTTTTCACAACAAGATCATTTTCACCTGTCAGGCTGGTACTCCTCTAAGTACTGTATAAGGGCAATATTGAGGAAAAAAAGAAATCTTAAATTTTGAGGATAAAGTCGTAATATTATGAGAATAAATAACTTCACAAGAACTCATAATATAAAAAAAGTCATAAATATATGAGAATTAAAAATGCAAAATTTTGAGAGAAAAAAACATAATTTTTAGGAATATTACAAGCAACCAATCAAACAGGTGAAAGGACAGTCAGTGTCAGCCTGAGCTGCTTCTGGCAGCTGCTGTTTGTCTGTCTAACTATAGAATAGACTCAGTTTCTTCACAATCTTTTCAGTGTCCTGATGATGATGATGATGATGATGATGATGATGATGATGATGATGATGATGATGATGATGATACTGATGAGCCAAAAGTTGAAGTATCTCCTTATTTTTTAAGTAGAACTTTACAGGATGCTCAATGTTTCACATTTTAAAGCTTCTGATATCCCCCCTCTAAAACAACATGTGACCTAAAATTACAACTTTATTTTCATTATATTATGACTTTATTCTTGTAATTTCACATTTCTTTTTTTCCTCAGTGTGGCGCTAATACTACTCAGCCTGTGAAAACAGCTGTGTGATATGTCAGAGGTTTTGGAGGAGAATAAATCTGATAACCATCGGATTGGGTTTTGGAGAACAGAAAACTTGAAGTTTTAAAGTGGAAGTGTAGAATCCAGGCTCTTTGGATTGGAGCTTGAGCCAGACTAGAGATAAAGCGTCACGATAGCTTGGCCCCTGGCGCCCCTGATTCTTTTTTAAATATGCGTCTTGAGAGTTGCCCAACTTTATGGATGTAAAACTAAACAGCTAGGGAACGCTGTACATCTGTGCATGCATATCACATCTCCTCTACATGTATACAGAGTCTGTCAGGAGTCTGTCAGGGGTAGATCCATTAAAAAAACACATTAAACCACATTTTAAAATGCCAGACCTTACCTTGCGAGAGTGAGGCCAATGCCATTATCAGCAAATCTAAAGCAGAAAAAGAGAATATTATTTCTGAGGCTTCAGAGAACACACACACTTACACAAACACGTCTGAAGGAGATAAAGTTATTATTAAATAAAGATGAAAATAGGACTTAAACAGGAATTAATTTCTCACTTTCATCTCTGTCATTAAATATGCAGAAAAAAACAACCACAGCTACCTGAGACTCTTAATGATTTCAATTACATTCAGCTGACAGTTGACAAACTTCACTCAGACAAACACTTACACCCACTGAGCACTTTCTTAGGAACACTGAAGCTCATTGAACTCATGTTGATGACACCAGTTTGAGACATGGAGCATGATCCTGCTGGAAGGAGCCATTAGAAGATGGTGAACTGTGGCCATGAAGGATGAACATAGTCAGCAACAATACTCAGGCAGACTGAGACAATCAGACTATGATTGTGTTACGTTGGAAGATTGCTGGAAGGGGGGTAGGTGGAAAAAAGGTGATAAATTTTGAAAACACAACAGGTGGTGAAGCACAACTAAGAAATAATCCAAAATTCAGGCAAAACAAAAACAAAAAACAGAATCACCAGGAGACAGTTGGAAACAAAACAGATGAAGTGAGGAAAAGGCACAGACTAAGATACACAGGGGAGGCAGGGATGATTGGACAAAAGTGAAACACATTAGTGCGCGACAGACAATCCCAACAGAGGGAAACTGGACAAAGACAAGGGCCCAATTCTAATATGGCCCCTATGCACTCCCACTCAGAGACGGAGCGTAACTCTGTGTGGAGTCACATTCAGGGTTTCTTCATTAGGCAAGCTTTGGGACGCCCTCACCTTTCTCCGATGCAAGTCCTAACATAAAGAGTCAGTACAAATAGTCTTTAGAGAGGCAGACTATAACAGATCGATGTGTATCACGGGCCTAGAATGCTCCAAGATTAACACCATCACACCACCACCCCCAGCCTGGACTGTTGAGACAAGGCAGGTTGGCTCCATGGATTCAGACTTGTAGCCTACAATGTGCTGCCTCAGCACAAATCCAGATCTTCACTCTGAAGCTTCTCTGCTCAGCACAGTTGTAATTGAGTGGTTAGCTGAGTGTCAGTAGCCTTTCTGTCAGCTCCAACCAGTCTGTCCATTCTCCTCTGACCTCTGACCTCTCTCATCAACAAGGTGTTTCCTCCACAAGTAAGTAGTAATTCACTGAGATCACATGTTTTCCAAATTCTGATGTTTGAACAGCAACTGACGCTCCTGACCTGTAACTGCAGGGTTCTATTCATTGCACTGCTGCCACATGATTGGCTGATATAAGCAGAATAAGCAAGCATACAGGTGTTCCTAATAAAGTGCTCAGTGAGTGTATATTCACTCACTTATTTGCTTGATATAAGTATTTCCTGTTTTGCAGCACTACTCACTGGCAGTCATCCAGCCACACATCCCCTCCTCTCAGCCAGGCTCCGTGGTCCTGGTTCTTGTAGGCCACAAAGTGGTGGATGAGAGCAGGGACTCTGGGTTTGAAGGGGTCAGCATCCTGGTGGGGGCCATACCTAAAGAAATCCACAGCGCCCACAGCAACACAGACGTACACAGAGTTGAGAAAGTTTGAGTGTTTGCATTTCATGATATATAGTTATGCTTTTGTATCCAAGGTTACGGAGTAGTACAATGTTGTCTAACACAGTTATACTAAACATATGATTCAATGTATGAAATTCAAGCTCCTCTACTCCACATCATGCTCTGTATGCGCATGAATTGTTTCTGATATGTGACTCAGCACTGTAATACTCAAGTCTGGTTCAGGTCTTATAGGTCTGGCCCCAGTAGGCTTTCCTCCTGAGACTTGTCATGGTCTTGGGAACTGATCTCGCCCTTTACAGTCCAGTTCACTAGCCCAGTTTTTTGTTTTTCATGCTTCAAGATTTAAGATTCAATTTAATTATCATTATGCAACACAAGATTGTGTAACGAAATTACAGATGTGGTCGCTTTATGCTGCTCACAAAAAACAAAAGGAATGAATAAATCATGGAGTAATTAATGTAAAACTCTTGGAGGATGATTTCAGGAGTCTCAGTCTGAGGAAAGAAACTGGAAAAGTCTGGTGGTACAGCTGAGGATACTTCAGCATCACCTGTCAGACAGCAGCAGGATGAACAGGCTGTGGCTGAGTGGGTTTTGTCTTTTTTGGGCTCCGTGCAGACATTTCGCCTCACCTCACCTCACTTCACCTCACCTCACCTCACCTCATTGATATCACTCATGCTCCGTAGATGGGTACTGATGATGTTCTGGGTGGTTTTAATCACCTGCTGCAGAACCTTCCTGTACTGACATCTCCTGCCTTCTCCAGTGTGTGCTTTCTATTGCTCCTCCTTCAGTTTCCTTAAAGTTCCTAAAAGTAATGTTTTAACTCTTCAAAATCCTCTGCTACGACTACTATTTTGTTTAACATAGTTTTCACACATTGAAAATCTCATCTCCTCTTACATCCTGACTGAGAAATGTGGATCAGGCCTTGAGCCCCGCCCACCACCTGCTGTCTCCAGGTGGACAGGTGAAAGAGCAGAGAGCATCAAGATGGTTAGAGGAGGAAACATCAGAGAGACTCAGCCACATGTTTGAGCCTCAGTCAGACCCAGACTCAGATGAGGAGTCTGTTGAGACCAGAACCAGAGACTAGCAGACGGATCAGAACAGTTAGCGTAGTTAGCATCTTTTATTTGTTTATGTTGTTTGTTAGCTTGTAACTGGCAGTGGCTGACACAGTGTTAGTGGTTGTGCTAATGCTAACTCTCTCTCTCTCTCTGTACTGACAAGGTTTCAGGTTTATTTAGCCCCGCCCCCCATCCCCCACAGTTGACAGGATTGTTTCCTTAGGTTTGTGATGTATGAAACCCTGGCTGTCTGAATCTGTTTTTATGAGACTGTCATTGGTTCACTGCAGTTCAAGGTGGAAACACTCAGTCATGGAGTTGATGATTATTTCACCCATCACATGTCTTGTGTTATATAAAAACATTATATGGATGTTAACAAGGTAACACACTGGATTTCCATCAGAGGGTCTTTAAGAAACAAGTGGAGATGTGTGATGAACATGACAGCTTCTCTGTGAGGTTGATTCCTTGGAACCTGAAACTGTTCACCTGCTCCACTTCAGCTCTAAACAATCAGCTTCTTGGTTTTGTTGGAGTTAAACTACAGGCTGTAAATACACTAAATGGCAGTTGAAAAATTGCTGCTGGCTTCATAAATTAGGTTTATATGATAAAAATCTTGATGTTGTAGCTTTAATAGATAGCTATTCATATACTCTGAGCAGAAAATAACAGCATCCTGTTTTCAGGTGAGGTGAGGTGTGTAAGCTTTGTGAGGAAGACACGATGCTGAAGAGGGAGTGGTGTGTCGGGTGTGTCGAGTGAAATGCTTTTATTCTACTTTTGTACTTTTACTGCTGTAATATTATAGCAAACACCACTCAGGAGTCTGACCTGGCTCCAATCAGAGACAAGAAGGGTCTCTTGTCCTTGTCGTTAGCCTTGGTGGTCTTTACTCCATTATCAAGGATCATCCCAGCCTGGAACAGAAAGAAGATCATCTATGTGTTAAACACAAAAAATAAAGAATAATGGTAAATAGTTGTAATAGTAAAGACTAATTGTTAACATTGTTCCTAATACAGAATATAACGGTTGTTATTGTCCATTAGCAAGGAACTTGTAGGACACTATTGTTCTGTAAGAAACGACCCTACAGGTCAAGCAGCAATAACACTTGTGTTTTATTGTTAGGTGACTCCTGGTGGCTGCAGTATTACGACGGGGCAAGGGAGCTCAGGGGATGTAGTATAAAGATCACTAAAGTGTGCATCAGGACGAGTTTGGATGGATGAGTCAACTTAACTCAGTTAATTTCTTTTGTCCATGACTGTTCCATAACCTAACCTGTCTTTATTATTGTAACCATGGTGACAGGGGTCCGGTACCATGCTGCTGATACGATCCTACGGTTGTATTCATTACCTTTATTGTCACTGCAAAGTGTACAAAAAAATAAAATGTCTCCAGTGGTACATACAGTAACATAAACTACAGACAAGTGGACACAATACAGTTTGTATAAATAATATAAAAGAAACAATAAATGCCATAAAAACAGAGCTATAAAAGGAGAATAAGTATGTGTTCAGTTATATTGCACATAGGTAAATTACACAGATAATATTGCTCAGGTTCAGGGTATTATTGCATGTGTACAGGATACTGCTTGGTTATGTACTTGTTATTAGCCTGATTGTCAGCAGTTTAGCCTCTAATGGATAAAAACTCGTCAGGAATCTGGAAATGCGTGTTTTTAAGCACCCAGAGGGCAGCAGGGTGAAAAGGTGGTGACCTGGGTGAGATGAGTCTCTTATGATGTTTGTGGCCTGACAAAGAGAGCGGGTACTGTGAACCTCTAGTGATGGTAACTGAGTGCCAGTGATTTGTTGTGCCAATTATATGACTCTTTGAAGAGGTTTGCTGAGGGTAAACCACAGCAGCGTGCCACAGGTGAGAAGACTTCCAATGATGCAGCCATACAGGGACAGAAGCAGCTGCTGGGACACGTTGGCTCTTTTCAGTGTCCTGAGAAAACACAGCCGCTTCTGTGCTTTCTTCACCAGAGCAGTAACGTTTAGGGCCCATGTGAGGTCCTGGGAGATGTGCGTACCCAGAAGTTTGAAGGTCTCTATCTAAATCTTGTCTGTATTTGAAATGAATATGAAAAGAATATGAAAACGCTCTGCAGGCTTCTCACTGAACCTGCTCTGCTTTAGTTGAGCTGAAACCATTATTTCCTGCTTGCGTGCAGGAAGACCGTGAGTGTTGTTGTGAAACACGTCGGGCTCGGTAGCAGAGGACTTACACTACTCTTATGCGGTTCTTTCCAGACTCATGTTGAACAGCCGGGGATCAGGTCTTAATTAGCAGCAGTGCACACAGATGAAATCAGATGCAGCTTCTCTCGTTTATATCATCAGTCTTAATGAATATCCTGCACAACTGTGTGGCCCTGACGGTGTTTATGGTTGGTTTAATGAAGCTGCTATTTAACCCTGACCTGCCGACGTTTGGCTCTAGTATTCAAATGTAAGTGGGTAGTTGTCATCTCAAAAATGGGAATTTGTTTAATAATGTAATACAAGGAGCTGAAGGTGAGTGTGTGATAGTTTAAAGCTGCTTTAAGTTATTCTTGACCACAGTTCTTCAGGCTGAGATCAGCCAACACTGACAACCGGCTCTATTGAGAACAACACTTCAGATTGTGCTGTGTTTTTTTCACCTTTCCAAATACAAAAACACAAGAGCAAAAGTAAAAGGAACTGATTATACAGTGTTTGTCTGTCTGCGCTATAATTTTTCCATGCCTGGCTACATTAGTAACCTACAGTGGCAACCTACCACTACTTCCAAAGCCACGTGTTAGTATAATTAACTAATTACTTTGTATGTGGGGTCATATACGTTAGGAAAAGTTATAAAAAGTTAGTTAGAAAACGTCTAGTTCAGGACTGAAGCTGGTGTTACCAGACCTGGGTCAGATCTGAGGGTCCTGATCGTGGCTCTGTCCTGCTGGTTAATGGATTTAGGGAAGTTTGTGATGACTTTGCTAAATGGTCTGTCCTGATCCTATTGTCTGGGACTTGTACACTTGACAACAGTAATAATTGGGTATGGCTTAGCAAAGGGTCAATCACCGGCTTTCACATCCAGAAAAATACAGTAACATCCTGTATGGTCCATATCAGTCCAGTATTCTCTCCTTTGAGCTCTGGCTTGGTGTCTGCTAACTCTTGACCTGCTGCTCTTTTTACATCGGCTCTCTGGTGTTTCATGGTGAGCAGGTGGTGTCCACTTTGGAACAGCCATCGGAGGCAATTAGGAGTTCAGTATCTTGCCCAAGGACACTTTGACATGCGGACTTCTGATTAGCGGACGACCCGCTCTACCTCCAGAGCCACAGCCGCCCCAACATGAACCTTTTGAATTTCAGAAACGTTGCTTAATAGAACTTTTAAGTTCTAGTGACACAGGGACACCTAACTGAAGGATAAATGTCAGATTCACTTATTGCAGCTTTAAATTCCACAACCAGTGGAAATGGAAACATTTGACGCAACTTTCATCACAGTAAAATAAGAGCAGTAACGATGGAAGCCACACACGCTCAAAACAAAGACACAATCACTGTGTTGCCAACCTGCAGCCCTGACATGACCTTTCCTCTCACTAACATCCCGGGGGGGCAGCCTGACATGAGTTATGCTCCTATTAGGATGATCCAAATTCAAAGCGAAGAAGGGAAGCAAAGACTGAGATGGGAAAGAAAGAAATCACTGTTGGGGGCAGAGAAAAGAGGGCGATAACAATAACACTTCCTCTCCACCAACGCCTCATAAATCTCTCCCTGCTTGAGCTGTGCTGGGCTTAATGCCGCAGGCGCCTCTGAAACCTCTCCTGTCCTCTCCATCTCATCCCTCTCCTCTGGCTTTCCTCTGTTTTTGTTGTCTGTCCTCGATTTTGTTATTCTCACTATTCACCTACTGCTCTTCCTCTCTGTTTTGCATGGCAGGTCACATGTGGCAGGCGTCACAGTGTGGAGTCGTGCTCTCTGCTTAGCTCTTAGCGATGCAGTGTTTTTTATTAAGAAAATGTATTAAGAATAAATAATGATAAATTACAGATTTCTTTAAAACAAAAACAGGAAATAATGAGTTAGAAATGTATTAATATGCTGTATTTGCTGCTGATTTTAATCCCTGGTGACACTTTGGAAAAACAACATGAATAAACCAGTAACAACATTTTTAGGTCACTGTGATGTACTGAAATGGAAGCAGCCACTGATCACTTCAGTAAGTGTCATTCTCTCTGTGAGAAGTTTAATGGAACATGTTCAGTGTTGGGAAAGAGTAATGTCATTTTCCAGTTAGTTCTTGGTAAAACTTGTGGAGTGGGAGAAATCAGAACATTATCTGAGAATAGAAACAAGTGAGTAAAATCTCAGCAACACAAACAATATGTCGCATTCAAAGACCTAAAGTTCTAATCTTTTAACAACCAACGTTGGGGCCAGATGCATAAAAGATGCGTACACACAAAAACCATGCGTGCACAATTTCCCGCATATAAATTGGTATTTATTAACAGAATGTTAATTCTTTTACTTTTACTAAAGTAAACTGATGCATGTCTTTACCTCAGTTTCACAATCAGTGAAATTGTTATTATTTCTCATCTTTCAAGTACTTATAATGTAGAGATCTTCCTATTTATGGTTGATGTGTTATTTTTCTACCTTATACTATTGTTATTATATGTTTTTTTTCTTCTACCTCATTTCCTATTCTGTACTAACAAGTTAATTTCCCCAGTGTGGGATCAATAAAGGCTTATCTTATCTTATCTTATCTTATCGCATCTTAGCCAATTGTGGGAGTGGAAATGAGGCTCATGCACATGCGCCCAATTTTTCAGTGAGTGAGATTTATAAAGCTGAACCATGTGTATGCTCATCTTTATAATTCTCATTAAAAGAATGTGTACGTATATTTCTAGTTTTGTCCGTCACATAGGTGGTCATGAATTTATAAAGTTCTACGAAATGAAGAGTTTTATGCTTTAGTAAATGGTTTAGTTGAGTGCAACACTGCTGTAACATATGGTTCAGTGTATTTAATATGTAATTGTAGTGTGAACACTGACACATCCACCCTCACACTCACCCTGTAGTTGGAGTGGGCTCTGTTGTTGGTGAACTGGCCCATAGGTTTGTGTTCAGTGTGTCCGGGGGAGTACAGACCCTCTGAGGGGCCAGTGGGCACATGGTGGAAGATGAACCAGAAACCTGTTTCCTGAGAGATCACACACACACACACACACACACACACACACACACATACACACACATACATTTATTTATTTTGTTGATTTTTAAAGAGAAAAGAAGTAAATAACCACTGCAGCAAGCAGACATTAAAGTGAGCCTTTGTTCAAATGTTAATGAACTCTTATTTCATGAACTGAAAAAAACCTGAAAAAATCAACTGTAATTGTGCCATGTGCAAAAGTTTAGGCACCCATCTACTTGTAACAGCGGTCTCATACAGGTGGCTCGTGAGCTCCCAGCAGCTCACCTCCTGTTTTAGAGCAGCTCACCCAAAGGTCCCTCCCCCCCCCCCCCCAACACTCTTCAACACCTAATAATTATCTGTCAGTTATCAGTCAAAGGAGTTACTGTCAGGTCTGTTTACATCAGATCTGCTTGTAGGCAACATACAGTGATAGCAACTCTTCTAAATCACAAACAGATATAAACTAAAACTTTCTCACTAACAGGAAACATGTTGCCATGCTACAGTGAATTAAGCTGTGGGGCTCACCGTTTTTTTAGCCCATATTTGTTTACACGTTGGAAAATGAAAGTAAATGAATGATCTATTTTAACTTTCCTGTTTGTTATCTACCACTGATGTATAGTGACAACTATCACTGATCACTGACTGAGGAGGTTCTCTTCTCTGATCTCTGATCAGAGTTTATTTGCAGTGTTGTTTTCATGTCTGTGTTCTGACTGAATCATGACTCAGATTGTTGTCTGATGTGACAGGGTTTTTGGATGTTGATGTTTTGATGACTTTTTAAATGATTGACATTACAGAGTCATAACCCCATAACGAGCCTGTACGCTCAGCCTGAAATGCTCGGGTCAAGAGGCAGAATCAGTAACACTTCTTTTAAATCACTTCTTAAAACTCATTTTTATAGATTGCTTTTATGTGATGTTTTTGCGTGTTTGTGTGTGTGTGTGTGTGGGTGTCTCTATACAGCATCTGCTCCTTCTAACTGTCCTTATTTATACTGAAGCATATTGTTTGTCCTCCCTCTCTAACTCCGCTGTATGTCTGACCTGCTAAACTTATTATTATTATTATTGTTATCATTTGGTTTAAACATCAGTTTGAGTGTTGAGTTACGATATGTGAATAAATGTGACCAGTAATATCAGACATGAAGAGCTCTAAGAAACTTTTATTTTGTCAAAGTAGCTCTCAGAGTAAAAAAGGCTGGAGAGCCCTGAGTTAAAGTCTCCAGACTTCATTAAGTGTGTTGGACATATTCTGCTTTGGGGCTGTGTGGCAGCCAGTGACACAGGAAACACTGCACGGACAGAGAGAAGATTCACTGAATATGCAGAGTTGCAAACGTCCTGCAGTCAGTCATGAACGTGAAGGACAAAGATCCAAAGCAAACCTCAAAATCCACCATGAACTACCTCAAGACACACAAGCTGCAGCTTTGGAATGACTCACACAGACTCACACAGACTCACACAGACACACAGACACACACAGACCTCTGACTGAACATCACTGACAATCTGTGGGTGGATCTTGAACTGGCTGAGAGCTACCACAAAGAATTATTTTTCCCTCATGAAACAAAGAGTAACAGTGCATTAACATTTGAACAAAGGCTCATTTTGTAACGTTTGTTTGCTGCAGCAGTGTTGTATGTATTTACTTCAAAAATCAATGAGGAATGTTCCCAGAGGATGAACGTTTGTATTCAACTGTACATACAAAAAGAGGTTGTCAAGACACAGGTTTTTTTAATGAGTAAAAATGGCGAACAACAAAGAACCGTGCACATCCACAGATTCATGTAGAGGCCTATTTGTTCATAAAATAAAAAAACGTGCACACGTCCACGTGCATAACTACAGCCACTCTGCGTGTCAGCCTGTCTGTTTCAGTGTTGTTCTTCGCAGGTATGCAAATGAGAAAAGTTATTACACTGGCGAGGATAAATGAGATTCTATTCCGCCCGACATATCCTCATGAAATCCCAGAGGCATGATCATAATTGGCACTCTATCATAGTGAAAGTGCGCCGGTGCTTCTGTCTGTTGTCTGCTTGATTCTGAAGTTAATAGGAGTATACAGCCATTAATCTGACCTGGCAACGTGGTAATGAGACCTCCACCTGGAGAGACATGGAGGAGGGTGGGTGGGGTGGGGGATGAGCAGAAGGGGGAGAGAGGGGGAAGCTGGAGTGAGAAACTCACCTCTGAGCCTGCAGCAGCGCAGTTGATGAGGTTGTTATTGGGGTTGGCGATCCAGAAAGTTGAAGTCGCGCTATAAAGAGGGATCGTGTTGGAAAGAAGGAAGAGGGGAAAGCTTGTTTATTGGCTTGCACACATATAGTTTGAACGAGTGATGTAGTGGTAAATAAAGACAGCAACAGTAACTGAGGGAGTTAGTTCAGACAGCTGTGTTGAACTGTGTTGAAAAGGTGTAGGTGAGAGTTAACATAGAACTTCCTTCTTGGCTTTGTGAATAGCAGTTTGACAAAGATAATCTTAACTCAAAGGTCTTCTTAGCTTTTCTGCAATGTCCGTTACACTCACCACTTCTTTTCCTTTTTTTTAATATGTTGATTGATTTTTCAAAAAACATTGTGATTGCATCGAAGCAACACACATTAACAACGACAGAAATAAAAATAAAAGGAGCAAAACAAAACAGAACATCTGGGCTCACAGACTCATTCACATTCAAACAGGTGAGAGACTCAGGATCTACATGAAAATAAAAGTAAAAATAATAAAAAGCTCATAGACAGGCGTCGCTCACGTCTGTAGTACACACACCCTCCAGTGAAAATAACCATCCAAACCAAAATCTGACATAAAAGACTTTTTTAGTACGACCTCATGCCAATATGTTTTGAATGGAACTTTATTTGTTCTCTAGAGTTTCCTTTTATATTCATCAGTAACAGAGGCGTTTGATATCCCAAGTTACTTACATAGTGGTTCACACCCTGTAGCGACAGATAGAATTTTATTTACCACAGACAAAGGCTGAGAATGCCTATCTCTATTTTGCATTTGAACATTGTGGGGACGAGTCCATAGTAAACCTATGATGTTGGGAGGGGGATGAATATTCAATAATAAATATACATTATGAGTTGAATTGCTTTCACTCTGTTACTGACACGGCATCATTACCATCATTGTCTGTAATCTCTATGTTGAGCTCTCTTTCACACTCACCCATTCGTTCCCATTAACGTTTCCCACCCACAGCGCATGTTTCCTTCCTCCTTCGCTTCTGAATGGTAAATGGCAAAGGCCTGATCTTACACCACACAGCGACACAGCTGGTAGCTAAAGCAAAGAGCTACAGGACACTGTTTACTAAACCTGTTGCAATTTACCATCAGGGGGGCAAAGTTATTCATTACCACAGTTTTTCTGTTTAGTGGGGTATTTAAGATAACAGAGGGAACTGAGTGTTTTTGAATATTGGCTGAAGAGAAGAGACTTATGGAAACGCAAGAGTGTGTTTATCGGAAAGAGCTATATGTGAGTAAATCTGATGTTAAAACTCCTTTGACCAGATTAACAGATAATAATAATAACAACAACTATAGTCCACGTGATAAATAATACAATAGACCTGCTGTCAATCAAGATAAAAAAGAAAAGAAGCCAACTGTGGGAGACAGCAAACTAATGTTGTATGAGAAGTAACAGATTGTTGCATCACTCTCTTGTCTCATGTTCTCTCTCACTAAATGATCTCAAGCACAGCAGAAAACATCTGAGACGACTGAGGAAACAGTTTGCTGAGTCGTCAGGTCACATGATAACAGGTGGCTGTATATGGGGGTAGATGCTAACCCCTGTCTCAGATCAAAGATGGTCTCTGGTGTCAGATCTCAACATCCTCCTTGATCTTTCTCTGACTGTCCACTCACTCCTGGTAAATGACCTTTGACCCCCTCCCAGTGGTTGCTTTGAGCAGTTTTGGTCTGGTGCTCACAGACAGATGTTGTGTGTGTTCATTCCGTCTCTTGTCCAGGGTCCTCGCTGAAAAACTGATGTTTGCAGTGGAATTTTTTTTTTACTTCCGCTGCAGACTAACACTAACTCCCCCACAGCTCACAAAACACTGGGGCAATGGTCAGTAAATCAATCATTCTCTTTTTAATGAGGATGGCCAAAGTGACACCTGGAGCTCCACATTTTGAATTACAGTCCAGGTAAACATGTCGCTTACGCTTGCCAACGTGATAGACATGGTTCAGGTTTTAAAGTAGTATTTACAAAAATTATTTTGAAATTCTTTGTGGATCATACTAGGATCATGTTTGACGTAATATCAAGATGAAACTATTTCTTTATTATTAGCAGATTATCAACAATCAATGTTTCCATTTAAAAGAGGCAAATCTGGCTGAATAAAACATTAAAATATTTTCAGAAATAAAGAAACATCATTCATTTTCTCTTCGCTGTGCATACGCCACTATGGTGGACACGAAACATGATGATAATAATTTCTTAAAGATGTTCAAAGTGAATTTAAAATAGAATTCAACTTAAAAGACACATCAGCTGCTCCTGGCAGTGTGTTTGAGCTGCTGTATTCATGTGTTAACATGCCAGACAACAATAAGTTTCCTCTGAGAAAACTGTCAGAGCATCATGACAGGGAGAGTTCTGTGTTTAAAGCAATGAAAGTGGTGAATGTGATGATTCATGCCACAGTTGTCACAACCTCCAGCACGCCCACATATAATGTATGATGAGGTATTCTTCCTGATCTCCACTTCCAAGTGTGCTTGGCACGCCGACAGTGCACAGGGCAGAGGAGTATACCCAGAAAAAATAACATCTGGACCAGATGATGGCGCTATATGAAAGTTCATGGGATCACAGTGATTACAAATCGTCCTCACGGGACAATGAATGTCTGTACCAAAGTTCACGGTAACCCGTCAAGATAAAAACCAAAAGTAAACGTCATGGTGGTGCTAGAGAAAAAGCCTGGGGATCACCAAAGACTTTCAGATACTTGCCTTGATACTTGATGTTTCACGAAGTGAAAAAACTGTCATGTTGTCTTAAGATGTGAAAATATGACGTCTTAACTCGGACGTCAAACTAGACATTTTGGATGAATTTGTGTTCCATGCATGTGTGGCTTCTTCACCAAAGGAACTGACGCTTGCGCAACCAACTGCCATGTCTTTCCGTTTCGTGAGATGGCTTGGATGGATAACGCACCAACCCACACACACACACATGCACACACAATTTAAGAAACAGAAGAAGCCACCAGGGAGTGCACAAAGCTGACTGGAAATTAATCATCATAAATCTTACACTTGGGAACATTGTTAGCATAATCATGTTTGATTAAATTGGAATTTTTGAACCACGGTAATAAATACACTGGGATGTGGAAATCATTACTGAATACAATTATCCAGACAAATTGGACAAAAATCCTCATTAGAAGTACAGTGCATTACAGGGTGTAACCCTGCTGCTATAACTGGATAAATCAGGAAAGGAAAGAGGAAAGGAGAAGAGAACGAATGAAAGGAAAGGAGCAGAAACAAGAGACTGAGATGACGTTAAAAACAGCAAATCCCTCCAGTATCCTCATGTTGGAGAGCAGGTGGATGACTCCATATCAGTGAAAGCCAGTGTATCCCTAACCTTGGCCTTTGTGCTGCGCAGCTGAAGGCACAGGCAGTGTGCTGAGATAAAAAGTCACGTGACCTGGATTAAACTGCTTTATATTCTGGGCTGCATCTTTATGCTTTAAATATAATGCCTCTCTGCCAGGCTTCCTACCGGTGTGAGTGTATGTGTGTGTGTGTGTGTGTATGTGTGTGTGTGTGTGCATATGGTGGAGAGAGCCATGTTGGCTGCAGTTTTACAACTTTTTAACTGGATCTAAATTCTTGTTTTAATGCACTTCCAAAGTGAAGTGATTGAGTTGGAGACAAAATCCACATTCCTTCTCCTTTAACAAAAAAAAAAAGCTGAATAATGAAACACTTTCCAGTGAAACACAAAGACTTTTGTACTACAAAGACTGTACTTCTGGAAGATTCTGACTTGGTTTTATTTACTCAGACAGCTGAAGCCTCACAGTAACTTCACAATAAACTACATTTCTGGCAGAAGGAGCAGCATGGATTTTACCTGCCATTATTTAGACTGGAGGCACATTAGAGATCGTTTGATGGCCAGAATGAACAGTTTCAGTGTATGTTTTTGACTGAGCCCCAACAGCAGGACCAGCCCTATAAATGCTGCCGTGGACTACGATCATTGGTCAGCCGAATGCTGTGCATGCATTGGTTGTTGCTCTTTCAAAATGAATATGGCGTGAACAAGAAGTGCTGCCACCTTAGCAACTCTCTCGCTAGATTAACTGACTTTGCAGCGAAAAAAAAATCTAGTGACTTTTGGACAAAGCTTATCTACTCAGCAGTATTGGCCCAAGAGCACAAGACTGGGCTTTTCCTCCGTAGAAACACCTCTCTATGACCCTTTTCCCACCAACATTATCAGGTATAAGCAGGTTTTTTTTAAACACGAGTAAATCCACTAATAAAAGCAGATTGACCCCTTCTCCACTGCCAGTGGAGTTTGTCTTTCTGTTCGGACTGAGGAAACACACAACTGCAGGAGTGATGTCATCACATGCAGTTACAGAGCGCACACACAGAGAGAGTGAGCTGCCAGCCACCGTGCAGACTGGTAAAACAGATCTGTCACGTCTCATCCTCGGGTTGGAGCTCCTGTAAAAGTGTCCGTGTGAGAGGCTTCCATCAGTGATTGTGCCAAAATCACTGCACAGTCTTTGTCCTTGATTTATGTGTTTGGTGATTTTGTTATGAAAATCAGGATTTGAGCAGTTTAGAGCTTCCTATGACATGGTCCGGTCAGAGACTAGAATGTGTTCTGCTAGAGAAAGTTCCTCGCCTCGGGTCACTGTAGAGGTAACTGTCTTGTGAGAGGAGACAGGAAACTCCAGTTCAGTTTCCCAGGTGTTTTGTGGTGTCTATTCATTTTCATTTACTCTGTGATCTCTTATTCAGGTATTGCCTGCACACAGGTCGCTCACATGTCATTTACCACTGGAGATAGTTCACTGCCTGTTTCTAGCTGTGAAGGTAGTGATGAGGTAGACAGCCATAACACACAGCGTGTGCCTGTTTGTCTCATGGTCAATTAGTCTCTCTTTGTGGGACAGATATTTAGATATATTAGATTAGGTTAGATGTGAGCTCATGTTTAGATGTAGGGTTTAAATACACAGCCCCA